CTGGGGGCACAAGCCCCTGGATTTTATCTTGGCACATCTGCCCTCTATGCATAAGCAGAGAGTGCAACTCAGAGTGCACGTTCGACGCAAGATGAAACTACGAACCAAAAACACAAAACACCAGCTTTTGGCTTTGTTGAGGCCCTGGCAGGTCACGTCTGAGAACATTCGCAGTTGCTGCACCTGTGCTCAGCATTGCTCAGCTTCATCCTTCTAACCCTTTTCCGAAGCCTCCAGGACTGCCAACTGACGGTACCCTACATCCCCGGTCCAAGCATGTACTGAGGTGCTTGCGTAGCTCGCGTGCATATGTCAACACATCGAACGAAGAAAAAAAAAAAACGTTACGGGAGCCCCGCTTCTCTGGTGAAGCCTGTGAACAAGTTCTGGCTGAACTTGATCCAAACTTGCAGTATAGAATGGCACTCCTAAGCAACAACTATCTGTTGTGTCTGTCAAGCTGCCTTCCACTCGGTCGGGACCTGTGCGAGGGGGACCACACGCCACCTGCCCAAAGCCAGCAACAGCCATCCAGCGACAAAGAACTTCACCTACGAACCTCTCGAATGTTGATTCATGAATTCGTGCTAGTCAGCCTAGAAGCCAGGCCTTGATGCCGATGGGACGGGGTGCGAGTATGGAATGGCCGAGTCCACCGTCATCTCCTTTCAAGCAGCCCAAGGGTTTAGCGGCCAGCAGAATTCGTTCAAAGCAATTGCAAAGCAGTCATATACAATCCTCTAGGGTTCGGGAGCAACATAGATCATCTTAAAAATGGCCATCTAGAAAGTGCGCGAGGTTTTTGTTTTGTGTGGTCTCCAAGTTTGCTTGGAAAAGGCCTTCTGAAGTTGGCTGGCACGTAAAGGCGCTTGGAATCAACATTGCAATGCTCTGGATTCCAATCCTGACGCTGCTCACAGACTTCAAACTGTTTCAGACTCCTCAGCCGCAACCATCATCTAACCACGCCGAGGCACCCCCTGGTAGACAAAGTCCACGGTCCTAAGGGTCCCGTCATGGCGGTTGAATCCATCCTCCAGCAGAATGAAAATGCGGTACTCCTGAGGCAGGGTGTCGATTGTACACTTTGTTCATCCGTAAAGTCAGCAAGATTCTATCTGCAGCTGCGGGCATGGTCTCCTGACCAAGCGTGAACTCGCAATCATAGAGGAAGGATATTGTGGCCTGCTTACCTTGACAGCTTCTCGCAAGTCACCGTCTAGAATTACAGCACCCACTGGTACAGAATCATTTTCTGGTTCTCCAGCATGTACATAATTGCTATGTTCGTGTACTGGCCATGAAGCAGCAAGGCCTCTGATGTACATGCCTGCTCGTCCTTCATCAAATCGCAAAGGAGAGAACTTTCAGTTGTGGGACACGTGGCTGTGAATGTAGCAAATGTTGCTCACTAAGTGTGCACGGTTTGCTGTCCTCACTCAGAGTCATCGTAAATATCATAAAAAAATTAGCAGCATCAGTCATGGCATCTCACCGGTTTGGACCTAGCTCCTCCTTCAAGGTCTTGCTTTCAACCGCAGGACCAATGTGGATCTTTGCATTCGCACATATTTGCACTTCAATCCTATGGGAATGCCTTCCTAATTTTGACACACAATCCTCTCTCAGCCGTGGTGCCGAGGATGGGAACCCGCACGTTTTGGCACTTGCCACCTGCAGATTAGCTGCGCACAAAGCAGCCAAGTGCCGTTTACTTTCCTCTGGAATAGGCACTCTATCCACAGGCCTGCTTCTGCCAGATACATGTTCTTGACCCGCTGAATCCAAGTGCTTGGATCATCGCCAAGAAGCACCTTGTTTAGGAGTTTAGGGGCTCAATGAGCTGAAGGTGTACACCCAGATCATGAAACATGGCCCCAACATTTCCCACATAACCGCTGAGTGCTGAGCTTGGTCAGCATATCCACTGGCTGTTGGAATGGCATACATCCACTCGAAGCCCTGTGCAAGCCCAGGGGTTCGGACATTGCGGCTCCAACAAATGCATCCGAGACAAAGTCTGCCCGTTTTAGACTGCTCGAGGGTCGTGAGGCAACTGAGCGATTGCAAACAAACAGCATCTAGTTTTGTGATGCCGCTCTAATGTACCTCGGAACCTACGGGTCAGAATGGTTAGAGCGGGAACAGCCCGGTTCATTCACCAAGTGCCTCATGGCTGGGAATGTACTGGAGGGCTACCGCGGTGGCATTCCGGAAGTAGATGAAGGGGCCTGGCAACAAGAAGATCGGTGTAGAATGGAGGGCGAACTGCGGCGAGGGTTCAAAGTTCCAACGCTGCAGGCTTTCACAGATTGGGCTGGGCAGACGTCTACAAGTCGTCTACAAGGCCATCCATCTCCGTCACTACCTCCTATGGCTTCCCAGCTCCCTCATGAAGCCGCCTTGGTCGAACACGACCGAGGCGATCAAAAAGTCAATGTAGGCAGCCTTCTCAGGCGAGCGGTTCTTCAAATTGGGGTAAGGTCGTCCCATGGTCTTGCCACACATGCTCATTTGTCTGACGCAGTCTGCTGCGGGTAATGCACCAACTTCAATGGACCCAAGCATGTTTAACATCAAATCTGTGATGAGCCCCCAGATGCGAGGGCAGGAAAAATGATCGCATGAGTTGCCCTGCTTCAAAAACCGAAGGGAAGGCACAACTCAGTCAGCGAACGTGCACCCACATACAATGGTCAAGCAGACATGATTGCGAATGGGATCACAGGCACGAAGCAGACATCATGGTCAGGACACTTCTTTCTAAGATGCCCAGGACAAAATCCAACTGGGGAATCCTAACTGTTAAATGTAAATGGCTCATCTTCTCGTCAACATCTTCAGCCAGCCCTTTGAAGGCTACGTATTACTATGACTACAGCACTAAGATTCTAGGTACATTGGCATGACGAATACATGATGTAAACTGACTGTTGTAAGCTTTGCGTAGGTCAAACAGTCCCTCTGAAACTTCTGCAAGCCCTATGACCCAACATGTAATGAGGTCCGATCAATTCATCGCCTGTTCTCCATGTAAGTGTTTGACAGAACCCCAGCCCTACATATGCGCAGACAGGACACATGTGGGTTTACCTATTTGCCATAGAAACAAACCTTCCCCTGAGGCTTACCTCCGCTCATGCCGGGGGTCTTGCCGCGCATGCTAAGGCATTGAGAGCTGGAAGAGGGCCAAGACACTAGAAGCCACATGTTTATTAAATTGTTCACATGTGAATGGTTTCGCTCTGTTTTGTGTCTCAGGCTTCGGTCAAAACGAAAGCAACAGCGATTCACATGGTCTACACCCCATCTGAAGTGCGAGTCCCTCTTGTCTGGCTGCAATCCGTTGCTTGTTACAATCTCCGGCAATGGGGAGGCACGACTGCGAAAGAAAGCTTCTCGGCTAAGGATGCTGTGGCTTGGGCATGGATGCGCTGGTGGGAGGATGCACTCAGCGATGGATGTTCTTATCGTTTGGGCATGGATGCTCTGGTGAGCTCGTGGGCTGCGCGCCACTTCTG